CTTTTGAAACAAGAAGGGTATGTCAAGTAGCTGTGCGCTTGTTTGTAGCGATCGGAAGTTGCACTACTCGTGCTGCCGCCGGATGGCTTTCGAGTCAAGCCGCCTCGCACGCCGCCTTCCTTCCATCCGTTCACCCCATCCGCTTGGCACCTCTCCATGCTTGGCATGAGGGGCCGTCGCGTGTAAAGGGGCGATGGATGCCACCACATGCCGTGCCGCCTCCGCGGGGTTTGTGCGCCGTTGTATCGACCGGTAATGAAAAGGTTCGGAAATCGAGTCCTGCCCGTCTCTCCTCTCTGCCGACTCCCCGAGAGGCACAGATCATCTCACGCACGCAAGGCGGGCTTAGCGGCCGGCTCGCCCGCCCGAAGCGAGGGCTACGCGCTCGCCCACGGTTCCGAAACGCTCGAGGTTGGCGGCCATCATCTATCGGCGGCGCACGACACCACAGCAACCGACATACATCACACCACGGCTGGCGGGAGCGGATGAATCTATCCGTCATACCTTCCACCATTTCCACGAGGGATCCCGATCTCGCCGGGCTAGCACCACGCCATCGTTCTTCCCCCGCGCCACGCTCATCTTCTGATGTCGGGATGGGTGCTTCTTCATTCTCCCTGCTGCAGTCCAAGCCGCCACTTGTTACTAAATAAACCTTCTCTGCCAGTGTTGTGCGCACCCAACTGCAGCGCATCTGTGCAAGGTGATCTTTGGAAAAAAAAAAAAGGTGGTGGAAATATCCCTCTTTGGTGTATACTGCCGAAACAATACCCCTGGCCGCGACCTGCCGAAAAGAAATGCTCACGAAATGCCGCCCGCCCCCCTCCCTGGCACAGCCTTGCTCGTTCTATCTGTTTCAGACCCTCGCTATAGCGTATCTCGGCCTCCATCCCGTGAAGAAGAGATGCAATCGAGGCCTCTTTTACAGATTCAATGTTACATTGCCACGACTGCTGAATGAATTATGTGACGGGTGCGTACGTACCTGGCAGGTATGTATGCATAGGCACAGCAGCGGCAGCAGCAGCAGCTGAGGACTCATCATTTCTTTTCCTGACTGGTTCTTAAGGAGAAATAAATACACGCACAGAAAGACTACCCATTCGAGACTTCCTATTTCGTTCTCTCGCCCGCTATGTACCACTCCCCCCCCCCTTGTCTATTCGGGGAGCTGGCTGCTATTTATTGCCGCTGCTGCTATAGTAGCAACACACGTTGTCAATCGACACGAGATGGATGCGTAACTCGCATTTTGCCCTCTCCCTCTTACGTGACGCACCCTTTTCTTGGCAGATTGTCTCTGATGATATGTATGATGATGCCGTGCCTGCTTCCTTGGCGACAGAGAAAGGCCGTTCGTTCTCTCTCTCTCATGGTTGACAGCAGTAAATATTTGGGTGTGTTCTGTTGAACGAAGAGAACAACAAGTGACGGGTGGAAGACGGAAGCACATTGATCTCCATTGCTTGGGGCCTAGTGTAGAGCGAGAAGAGAGAAGAAGACAGATTATACCACCATGACGTGTCGTCGCCAGTCTACACCATTACCACCGCCGCGGTCCTGCAGCTGATGTTGTAAAAGTATGCACGAACGTACCTCACTCACTGACACATTTTTTTTGTTGTTGTATGAGCGGGTTATGTATGTATCTTTCCCGTATCTTTCGGAATGTTTTTTTTTTCTTCTGATGATGCAATGCCACGAAGCCATCAGCATGCCGAGAGGTGAGCGACAGACACAGCAGTCAGTAGCAGCTGGTCAGTATTAGTTACAAGGAGGGCCAGTACAGGGTTCATCATGGCATAAAATAATACTTTGCATTCTACGTAGGGGAATCGCGTGGGAAGCGATTATTTTTCGTGGGAAAACGAGGAATTCTCGTACAAGTGAAGGTTGAGCTTGAGCTTCGCGTTGAAAACCGGAACCAACTCGAGGACTAAAAAAATATTAGGCGGGGGGGCGCATAATAAAGAGATACCAATACGTTACATGTAAGGAATTATGATACGGATGTAGAGCAATGTGTTGATGTGTTGTATATACCCCGGCCGACGCGTGAAAAAAAAATCATGCCACGATGGCACAACATCTTTGTAGTACTATTTAGACGTTGCCTTTCTCCAATATAAAATGATGCATGGCATACAAGCGCATATCATAATGCATACTATGCACAGATCAGGCGTGCACTCCTCCCACATTATCATGTTTCTTCTCAGAAATGTACTTCCTACTACTTGCTGCGTGTCCACAACAATAAGGACTTCCAATTGTTGGACAGATAATAAACAGTAGATGTTGTCACGCCGGGGAATCGTTACTCTCTTACGGGTAGTTAGTTCATTGCTCCCGTCTGCAACAACAGAACTCGCATTTCGCGCGCCCTTGCACGGTTGGTCGCGCCGCAACACAAGCAGCGGCAGTGGAGGGGTGCGTGCCTTCGTTCAAAAATCGAGGAAGCCTGTCGCTGCACCACCCTGATCGATTCCCGGAATTTACTTCTTCAATTCGTTCCTTTCACCCGACAAATCAATAAAAGAAATGGAGACTGCAACGCCGCCGCAAATCTCTCCTGTCTATACTCCAACGCGGCCATCGCGATCGACCAGTGACAGCACAGGGATGGATTCATTCGGTATCATCTTTTCTTGCCAACAAAACATACATCCACCCACACGACACGACTTCAACCAAGACTACCTACACATATCAACTACCCGAATCTACCGCCAATATACAGCCGAGCCAGGTCCGTTCATTGATAGACCAATGTTCACACCAGTCGTCTTGGTCGACCTACAGCCCCACCACATCATCATCCATCTGACTCGCTTATTATTGATGCAATTGGTCCGAAAGCGAAACATCACGCATGATTAGTTGTGAGAGCGATTTTTCCGCCCCAAAACGCAACCAATATGCTACTAACTCATTGCCCGGAACCCTGCGAAAAACGCGCTCTCGTCGTTCAAGCTAACCCGTCACCTGCCGGCCTTCGAAAGCGGAGCGATCGGTTGCTGCCACGCAGCTTGCTCTCAAAGTAAGTGGCTAAATGAGAGCTGCTCTGATGGGAACTCAAAACCAACTATTCGTCTGCACGGCTCAAGCTTCTATCCTTCACACCCACGCATGCATATGGCCTGGCTGGTTCGCAGCGACGACACACTGTCTCCTGCAACTGCTCTCTGTCGTACTCAGTCGAAGACGCAACTCATCACATGCAATGGGGGGCCCTTCGCAGTGCAGATAGTGCAAGCCAAATCTATCAGCGCTTCAGGGTGTTGACTTGGATATTCCGTGTGCGCGGCGCGATCTCACCGGCACTCTGTTCTGGGCACCGGATACTATGCAACACGCAGCGACCCCTTCCCCCAGCGGTACATGAACCTAGATGGAACCAACGCAAAATACATGATCGAAATCAGCATCAATCTAGTACCCGTTTATTGCGGTGTTCGCCGCAGACGCCATGCATAGGCTCCGGAGGAGTACAGCGAAAAAAAGTGTAGCGGGGTGAGGTGGGAAGCACCAGCCCCCACACGCAGTAACACAGTACAGCAGGAGTGCTGTGACGGAGTTCGAGCATTAAGTGCGGGGGGCATGAGACCACGCCTACCCCACCAGGAGACGCTAAAGACGGAAACAACAATGCGGAAAGACGAAAACAAACGTCGTACAACACAAAAGTCCATCTAGCGCGCGGAGAACGCCCGACGAAAACGAGACCTCGCATCCTGACCTTTCGGCACACGCACGCAATCCTTCGAACAGCAACCCATGATTTGACGAAAAAATCAACCAGCCACACCCCACCGGACAAAAACCTACCGCGACTGGAACGTGCGCCAGCCCAGCACACAAAAACTAATTAAAAGCAGCAGTGTGGACCAACCCAAACATTTCAAACCATCTTCTCCCCCGACCTACAGTACATGTTTATTCATCGCACGTTCGTGGTGGCACAAACAAAGGTAGGCGCCACGCAGCGTAGAACATACAATATCGTATACAACGTCAGACCCTTCCCGCCCAATCTCAACTGCCCCCCGGACAACGCCGGCCTTCGGTGGGAACAAAAAAATCCCGTACAGCACCCACCCTTTTCCTTCCCTGCTCGAAGAAAACAAAACCCATTCAAACCGCACGGCTGAAAAAAGAAACGAGTCAACAGAAAAAAGAAAAAAAGAAACGCACGATTGATTCGTCCACCTTCATTCTCAGGAACCATCCAATCCCCCCCCTCCCGATGCAGTCTATCACTCCTACTCTCTCTTCCACAACCAGCATGCCAGGAAACAAAGAAGCACGCTTCGTGCTACCAGTGGGTCAAGTCACCGACCCGACCGGTTGCCCGTGTCGACCCTTCCGCCGCGGCTACCGCGTTGTCTACCCGCTCCCCACGGCGGCGAGGATCGACGGTCCTGATCCTTTGCGAGGGACATGAAGTGATTTCGGTTGTCCGCGGTGAGCTCCTTCTCGACCACCATGCTCTCCAGCGTCACGGAGAATCGAACCTGTGATTGTTAAAAACCGTTGCGCGTTCAAGGGGAAGAGAGTTCTCAGAACGAAAGGATTCCACACACAGAAAAACAGTAGGTAGCAATGAACACAAGAACGCTCGCATGTACAACAAAGCCACTGTATCGCTCGCCTCGCTATCCAAGCTAAGACGCAAACCACACCGTCAGAGCTTTGTCAAACACGCCGCCCATCGCGGCTGCACAGCAGGTGGGCGACACACAATTGAGCCTTCTCGCCGTCGCTGCCTTTTCTCGACTTTTTGCAAGCTACCGCTGTCCTCTTTCCAGCGACGTTTGCTCTCTACTTACCGTGTCTTGCCAACAACTCGCCGCATCTCCCAGCACAACCAGCCGCACCAAGTCAACTACACGAGCCCAGATAGTGTTGCAGAGACAGCAGCGCCAGCTGATTGCCACTCTACTCATTTACGCTAGGGTCCTGCTCCCCCGAGGTGCCAACACCAAGTGCGCCAACGCCTACCATTTTAGAGGTTCACGCTGTCGGTTCCCCCCTTCCCCGATCCTCACCGTCCCGATCAGGATCTCGGCGCCGTTGGACAGGGGATACGGCCTGCTCTCCGTGTGCATCCCGCTCAGCCGGAACCAGGTCCCGTTCGTAGACGGCTGCAAGTCAAGGAAAGCAACGGGGCGTAGACACATACATATATGTGACTCGAGGCGATGGGATTGGCAGCAAAGGCACTTGCACTACATACCTTCGCTTCCACATCAGGACTTGGCGGTCACCGTCGCAAACGTCAAGCTCTGACGTCCGTTGCGTGCGTGCATTACACTAATTCATTGCGTACCCAAGGTTTGCCGCGGTTTTCTCCGCCCCGCGATAAATATGTCGTTCATCTCAACACAGCCGTGTACAGTACGTTGCATAAGATATCACACCCTGTAGGCCAGTTTTCGAAGCTCGATATCTTGGTAGGAAAAGCAGTGTCGGCGTCGAAAATGGCGGCGTTGAACCCGTCTCGTCAAGAGCTTCCCGAAAACGTATACCTCAATTTCGGCATCCTCTTCGTCGTGAAGTAATCGGGCTTTCAAAATAGGTCCAGGGGGTATATCTTATGCAACCTACGGGTACATTCACACGTGTTGCAACAGGACACTTTCCCGGCGTGCAGCCACGAAGCTTCTCCCGTTGGAAGAAGGGGCCGCACAATGAGGACAACCAACCGCAGCAGGCTCGACCTACCTTGGTAGGGGTGCCGTCCATGATGTGCAAGAAGTCGCCTTCCTCGTCGTACACGATCCTCGCGTGCTCCCCCGATATGGAGGCGTCTATCCCCATCACGGTCCCGCCAGACTCGTGGGAGAAGGCGATGGTGTTGGTCTGCCGCCGCCCGAGGGTGGCCCCTTCTCTACCCACGAAGAAACGGCTTCCCTGTTGGTCAGTAGAATGACGTAATGCGTGGAGAGAGACCAGAGGCGCCAGACGGTGCGCGCGGGATTCTTCAGGGCTGAGTGGGATCTTCGATGCTGAACGTTGTCTTCTAGAAGGGGAGGCGGGCGTGTTGCCTTTGGCAGCTCAGACGAGAAATAAAGCGTTTCTGCAAACACATGGATACAGGGAACGGCTCAACACACATCCGTACTCTCGAACATGAGCTTTGGTCCCATCTCGCCTCCCTCGCGACACGTCAGCCCTTGGTGGTTCGTGACAGCTAGCGCCAGCTGTATCAGCACGCGTTAAAAGCATCTCAAAACACCGCAGCCCTACACATCCAAGGGAGCAGGAAAAACGGGCTGCCTACATACCGACCCGCAGAACAGCAGCACCTACACCCGAACAAACGCTACCCGTCGTTCCCGCGCACAATACTAACGGGGAGGGGCGGGGGAGGGGGGGACGCGTGGTTGCTTGCCTGTATCGGGGTTCCTTCCGGCGCGAAACACTCCAAGCAGACTCTTCGGTGGCCCCGTGCAAGCTTGACTCCGGCCTCGAACGACCTCTCGAGCCCCTCTAGCTCCTTCTGGTCGCCCGAGGCGCCCCCTTCTCCTTCTCCGTGCTGTGCCGAACGCCAAACAAAGGCAGGCAATACAAAGGTCGCGGGGGAGGCCCGAAACAACGAAGCCACTTAATATTGGCGAATCCTGACTTGGCAATAATCACTCTTGAGAATATCTTGGCTGAACAAGGCCTGGTCAAAGGTGATAATTCTGGTCTTGTTAAATGATGTTGCTCAGCACCGCTCGCCGAGCATAATTGCAGTAGAGAATATTTATGGACGTGAAGAAGGAAAACATATTACTTCTTCTACACAGGCGCTGTAGATGTTGCGCGGTCGGGTTCGTTTCTGCCCTTGGGGGAACCCCCCCCCCCTCCTCCCATCCCGGGCAAATGAGCTACAGCAGCATGTACATATATACGCTGGCATCACACACAAGAAATACAGCCTAGTCAGCGCCTTCGGCAGCGAGCCCTCCCTCTCCCTCACCTTATCCTGCAGGGGGGTGTCCAAAACGCTCGCATCGTCCTCCCCGCCAGCGGCGTTTTCGTGCGGCAGCGGCGACCGGCTGCTATCCTGCCTTACCCTGTGCTCCATGCTGTCCAGGAGCAACCCGCCAGCGGGGCCATCCCCCGCAGACGAGACTCCTTCCGCCCCCGTTCCCGTCCCCCCGATCCGAAGCACCGACAGCTCCTCCTCCACCTTCGACGACGACGACTTGGCCGACTGCGCGCTTGTGGGGCGCGCCCGCTCTCGCTGCCCGCCCCTGCCACCGCTTTCCTCCTGGTCGGTCGTGGCGCCTTCTTTGACGCCCGCCGCGGTCCCGGCCACGCCGGCGGCGGCGGCGGCGGCGGCGGCGGCCGCTGTGCCCCTGCTACGCGCCGCCGCCGAAGCAATGTCGCCTGGTCTCGACGGTCTCGAACGCGATGCGTTGTCGCCGCCCTTGTCTTCCGCTGCGATGGACGCACCATCGGCATCGACCGCCTTTACATCAACGTCCTCAGGGCACGCGTTTGTAATCTCCAGCTGAGGTGGTGTTCCGCAGTGCGTGGGCAAGGGCATGGGGTACGGGGATTTCGAGGTAAGGCGAGGGGACGGGCTGACGAGGAGAAACGTGCGGTACTTGCAAGGGGAGTCCACGCGCCTCCGCTTGGTGGCGCGTTTTTAAAGCAGCAGTAGAGCAAGTGCGCCTTCATATATCTGGCTTCGTGTTTATGCCACCTAGGAGGGGTACAATAAACGCCTCTGCAGCACGGAACTCGAGGGTAACCTTTCTAAACATTTGCCGACAGCTTCCAAGCTAAGGTACTTGGTGCGGGATCACCCCCTGCAGAGAAGAGCACGACCGACACACCTGGTGCTTCCCGAGCATAATCATCATGCTGGGATAAAGCGGAGTGGGCACGCCTGACGCAAGGCGAACGAACGTCCCGCCTGCACTCCCGAAGTCGCACAGCGAGAACTGCTTTTCCTGGAAGACGGGCGAGGTGGTGGGAGGGCGGCCGGGATAGCAGAAAGATATCAAGACAGGCGTTGGGTGGGATATTGAGCCGGGCAACAGGAGCGAAAGCATTTGGACTCCACCACGACACATGTCCGTGTCGACTTGGCCCAGATGCCACCTCACAGGTGACCCTGACAAACACGAAGCCCCATTCGACCGTGGTCTTCAAAGGAGCAAAAAGGCCACTTGAGACAATAACTGGGCCATACCTCCATCCATCTGCTGTGGAATGCGTACTCATTGTTGGTGTGGCTCCAGCAAGCGGAAGCTATCATGGTCGCTGTCAGAAAATTCAAACCGCTTCGGCCCTTGCCCACTTCCTCCAACTGACCTGACTCTAGAGATGAGGAAACGAGACTTTATCATCTATTCAGTTAGTCGACTGCGATAACCCAACATATCGGGAGCGAGGTAGGTGCTGATCGTCCAACACAGTAGTGGCAGCGTTATACATTAAGATCGACATGTAGAGGGGAGGGACCTGCGAAAACCCACCCTCGCTTTACGGACTCGAAAGCAAGCACTGAAGAAAGGTAGACGGGGGGCATCAGGGAGAGATAACCTTCCGGGTGTGCTCCGAAAAAGCGTTACGAAACGTACTGATGGGGCCCGAAATGAAGCGCACGCGGGTTGTTACGGCTGCCCGCGACCATGACAAAGCGAAACAGCCTTCGGCAGAGTGATCGGAGCTGCAGGAGAAGCGGGCTGCCACAGCTCTTGCGTGGAGGCGTCTGACCGTCTGGCGGAAGCAGCAGAACCCAAGGATGCCAAGCACACGATGGAACACCGTCGCCTCGACCACAGGCCATGATGGTATATATTCCGCCACATGCTTCGTTGCCTCGGCTGCGGCTGCTCCCGCCTGACTGCCAGACGCCTCCAGGCGAGCTTAAGTAACCTATCATAAGATCTTTTGCGGAGCCTATTTGGCGTTCTCCTGGTGAAAGGCTGCCGGCTGCCTCGGGGCGGTGCTGGTACAGTAGATTAGGGGGTTGAGAACCCATCGAAAAAAAGAACAAACCCTGCACCACAAGAGAAATCATCATGTCCTTCTCGGCTCATGCCCTGGCCTGTACATTTTACGCCAAACACAACAGAGATCATGTCCTCTTGGCTCGCGCCCTGGCCATGTGCACTTGACGCCGTATACAACAGATATCATGTCCGTCTTGGCGCATGCCCTGGCCATGTGTGTCTTACGCCATGCACAACAGGGACCGTGTCCGTCTCGGCGCATGCCCTTGGCCACGTGCATTTTTCGCAATACGTGCCGGCGCGCACACACACCTCTTTGTCGAAGATGATGCCGAAGTGGCGCCTGCTGACGGTGGCATCCGAGAACTGCATGAAGTCCGCCCCATCGAGCATGGCCGGCTGCTTGCGTCCACCGACACAGCCGCGCTCGGTTACGCGAAAGGACTTGTCGTTCCAGTCCGAGTCCGTAGGGCCCAAGCACTGCCGAAACAAGAAAAACACGGACGGCACCAGCAGCACCAGAAGCACCAGCGTGGCGGAAAATGTGATGCTACTAATAGCGAGCAATAGCGCTTTGACTCGTTCGAAAACGCAAAGAGTTGGCTTTATTTATACATCTCGTGTGGGGGTTGATGAAGGGTTACGGTTACCTTTATCGGAAGAAATCGCACGTTGTGCCAATATGCTGTGCGGGAGTTTTTCCGAACTCTCAGATCCAGAATGCCTCACACACAAAACGTGCGCGGAAAGCACGTTCTGTCTCTGGAGCATCGGTAACTCCAGGTGCTATTGGTCCGGACTAACCGCCCTCAGATTCCAACAGGCGTGATACTCGGAAACGAACAAGAATCGAACAACATGACTCATACATGTCATCCAGCCCCCAATCATGGTTAAAAAAGGTCCAAGCCTGGCGGACATTGAATCACATCTGTGCTTCAAGTAGCCTGGATCTAAGGTATATACAAGTTGGGGGACTCTTGAAAGAAGGAAAGTCGGGCACGGACACCGGCCAACAAGTGGTGCTTCGACTCTGACTCTCTGCAGATCGCCACCTACAATCAACCCCACCCCAAACCACCGCTTGAATCTACGAATGTGGCGCAAGAGAGGCGTTGCTTGCAGAGAAACCAGAGGAAAGCACCCTCAAACAACTCATCGCGATGATTTGTGAGTTCGATGTCGAGTTTTGCTGGTGAAAAATTGGTCATTCCGGAGACGTGCTTAGGTCGGCCGGTCGAGCCCTCTCTCAACGGGAACAGCCGCCCTAAAACAGATTTACCCGAGTGCAGTCGGTCCATCCAATGCACAGATGCTTTTACGCACGAATATCTACCCTTGCGTACCCGCAACCTAACTGGAGCTTTTCAATTCATTCACTATGAGGTGCAGAGTATGGCTGAGAAAGGGCTGTCATATTCCGGGCAAAAAATTATCTTCCTTACGTTTCGAAGAACTCGTCCGGCTCATGAGACAAAAAATCCTTCTTCCGGTGGAACACCCCGCACTGCCGTGCTCATGCTCCGCCGGGTTTCAAAATAAAGAGGCTGCCCACCCTACTGCATTTCCTATTGAGTCTACCGCGGCCGTAAGACAAGACACAGGTGTAGGACTATCGTTAGCTGTTTTGTTGTCGCTGGGATCGCAGCCGTTGGATTCGGCGAAATGGCGGGCAAATTTCTGAACCTCACCACGATGATCAGAGTCAATACCAAGTCAATACCAAGTCAACATGCAAACAGCGCAGACAGTACCCTCCTCAGTGCGCTCTCAAAGATTCCCAAAACGTTATCCACACACGCACTCTTTTGTCTTCAGCGGGGAAACGTGACGCGGAGGGACCATGCATCTGCAGTTTGTCGCACGAACGCGCACCTTGAGAACGAGAATCTGCTCCGTCACGAGCGCGAAGCGGTACTCCCGGTCGCCCTCCTTCTCCCTACCCCTCTCCCGCCTCCCTCCTCCTCCTTGCGCTCGGCTGCTCCCCCCAGGGCCATCGCCTTCTTCATCGCTTTCCACCCGGTACACGTAGAGACCCTCTCCCCCTTCCGCTAGGAGGTCCTTGATCAGCCGCCGTAGATTCAGGTTGGGCACCAGCGACAGCTGCTCCATGGGCTGACCAGTCTGAGAAGAAGGAAACATGAGGGATTGTCGTTTGAGGTGCGTGGAGGGCATTGAGAGAAAGAACCAGGAAGAAGGGACTGTCGTCTAAATTGAGTGGAGAGAGCATTGAGAGAAAGAACCAGGAAGAAGGGACTGTCGTCAAAATTGAGTGGAGAGAGCATTGAGAGAAAGAACCAGAAATGAGGGATTGTCGTTTAATTCGAGTGGAGAGAGCATTGAGAGAAAGAAACAAAACACTGAGGGGCTTCCGTTTGAGTCGAGTGGGGGGCATTGACCGCGACACGTCTTTTTGGTCGATGAAAATCAGTGAGAGCTCCCCTTCCCCCGCCGCCCCCAACACTACCTGTGCCGAAAAGCGTATGAGCTGCAGTACCACGCCCGGCCGGTACGCATCGCCAAAACAGTGCACAACTTAAAAAGCTCGGTGAGTGGCCGAAAATGAAAAGTCGCTGAATATTATTTTCATTTTGATGAAACCGGGAGGCACCAGAGGGATGTCACGGCGTCTCTCCCAAAAAAGTCCATGTCCAGCCAACGAGACGGGAGACGGCAGCAGACAAGAGGGGATCGAGGAAAGGACGGCAGAACGACCAAGAACAAACCAGCCCGTCCACGTCGAACGGGTGCTGCAGCAGGGTAAGCCACGCTGTACCTTGACGACATTGCCGGCTATGGCCTATGTTCGTGATTCGGCCCTGCTGTGTCGTGGAGACAACACCCCCCTTGGTTGGGTTGATTACTGATGACTTACGCCCTCCCCCCGCTCCTCAGAATGTTCCGTCCTCCCGGGTTTTCCGAGAGTACCATAAGATTGCGAGTCATCGCACCCCCGTGCCAAAAAGAAGTAAACAGCTGAGTTGGGTAATTCGTTTCCTGCACAGGGTCCGGAGTGACGGGATAGGGGCGTTGACTCATTACCTAGGGTCGTAGAATGCCAACGGTTCCGGGGAAACTTTTAACCCTGGCAACCAACCTTACCGTTGCTGTGCTGGGACGTTAGCTCCGCTGTACTTCAACAGATGGCATCGTTGCAGACCACATGTTGAGGTGTAAGGGAGGTGAAAACAACGGATTCCCATTGATACTTTAGTTGAATCGACTATGCATATCACGCAGAACAACAGAAGCCACATGACCATACAAAACAACTATTTAACCCCTGACATGGTTGTGAAGTGACTGCCGTGTGTCGCGTGTGCGTGCATTCGGCAGCGGGGAATTCGATTTTCCGTGGTCAGGATTCCTATTTTGGTCGTGTACTATTTCGCCTCATATCGCTTGGGTGTGTGTGTACGTTGCGCAAATACCTTTTCGAGTACCGCTGAGCACGCCGTCTGGTGTGAGGTGAGGTTGGAGAAGTATGGCAAACACTGATGGACTGCAAAAATGACACATGGCTGTCGGAGAAAAACAGAGGGTCTGGGGGGCGGCAGCATCTTAGTCCTCGTGATGGTCTACCGTGGGAGCAGCAACACTCATGTTTATGGTACTCTTGTACCAAGGTGATGCCTCTACAATACCGATCATCTTCACAGCAGTTCCGGTTCCTCACGTCGCAAACCTAGACTGCTTGAGCAATGTAGTTCAGTACCAGTAAACTCGAAAGTAGTTCATTGCAGGACAAACAGCCGCCGGGTCGCTGGACGCGCAATTTACACTCTCGCCAATTCAAACAAAGGAGCCGCGACGCAAGGTCCTCTCATCAATGATGACACCAAACAACAAGCTTCACTTGGCTTCACCGAACACGAAAACAAGCCGCTTTGGGCACAGAATCACACAAAACAGAAACGTATTTTCATCGGTCAGTCGGTTGGTGCGGTCGGTGCCAATGACAAACACATGAAACAAGGGGGCTCGCTTGTGTGACACCAACCATAAGGCAAAATACACGTCGGGTCGGATCCCAATAGGAGAAAGTTGAGGACGCCACCGAGAGCCACCGGAGTCACGAAGCAAAAATCAACATGCTGCCACAGGGGCCGATGCGTGCGTGGGAGTAACAGCCGAACACACCCACAAACGGCCAAACATAGGCCGTGCTACATACAATAACCGTTCGCTCGCACACACTCACCATCGACATCGACTTGCTGTCTGTGGTTTACCTATATGATATGCAGGATGGCAGCATGTAGTCAACACTCTCGACACTTGGAAAGGTCATCTAGTCAGCGATTTTTTAGTTCGTCAAATCACGAAACAGGGTCAACGGCCAAGTGTGTTGGAAAGCAGGTGAACAGCATGTAAGTGCACAGCCGATGACACACCGGAGTGTCATACAAGGTAAATACCAAGTAACAGATGAAGATCAACCACATTTCCTGGGCATACCTTGGGAGAGGTGTCATGATTCCTCAGCCACATTTCGATGGCCTCCCTGTCGTAGGTGTGGCCGTCCGCAGCGATGACCGGGTCTCGCATGAGCTCCCGGGTGATGGGACAGGAGAACTCATCCCGAAGGGCGGACCCGCGAACCTTTGCCACAAGTAAATAGTCCAGGTTCAAATGTTCACACGAACGAATCGAACCAGGTAGACCGAAAGGAAAACGTTAATGGATGAAAGAGGTACTTCATTGTTCACTTGGCGCTTCACCGCCACAAAACCAACATGGATTGTACGGGCAGGATGTTTGCTGCCGGGAGAGAATATTCAGCGTAGCGGAGTAACACCTTTCGTGGTCATTACTTGTAGCAGCTTTTCAGCCTGTGACATCAAATAGACACCACCTCCAGAATATGCAAGGCCCACTTTGCTCTGATGGAGAAAGGCGGACATCGGCGGGAGGCAGCGCGCGGTTCGCCGGTCGGGTATTGAAAGTGAATACTCGGAGTAGCAAAGCGACGCGAGGATGCATACGCACATGGTTGAGTATCATATGCATATGAGAGGCGCATAACCTGGTGCTTGACCCCTACCAAACAGACGTAATCAAGCGGTAGCGCCTAATTTATGGGCGAAGAGTCCAACACACAACACATCAACGCCATCAATTCCGAAGAAACATTTCCCCCAGTCAGACGCCACTCGTAAACTCGTACAATGCCTGGGCGGGTGGTGGACGCCGCTGTTTTGCTTATAGCGGGATAGGCAGAAGGGGGGCAAGGTGACGACACCTTACCTTTGCCTGGCTTGGAACCCAGGCAATCACGCATATCTATTTACTTCGGCGAGGATTGAATGCCACAGCAAAATTGGTCGCCTCCCTACCATCGCCCTGAAAGAGAAGAACACCAGTCTCCACAGCCAGGCTTTGGTTCCAAGCATGCCTACCACACCACGACCAACGAAGACAATCCCTACCATCCGTTATATGGGCGGAGAGCGGCATCTTTGTCGTTCGACCACATTTGCTGAGGAATAACAGACCAGCGCGGCCGCTTTCTTTCCGTCACTGGTTGTAGGTACTTCATACGTCGAAGCGGATGAACGTTCTAAAAAAAAGTTGCCGTCCGACATGGAACGGGAGAAGGGTTTTTTGCCTTTTGGTGATGTTTTCCTCCAACCGCCAAAAGGAGCAGCCGGATAGAAAGCGTCGATTGACGTGATAGAGTAAAAACAAACGCCGGTGTACAACACTGCAGCGGTAGCACAGGCGCTTGAACAAGCACCAGATGTATAGAAGAGGGTTGAGCGAATTAGACTACAAATACATTAGGGCCGGGAACTGTCCTGCTGGGAGAAATATTCGATTCTACACGTTCATTGTGGATGGGAGACGAAAATGACGACGTGGGATGCGCGATACGTGTTAGAAGACGGAGCGTGCCTGAGGCCCAAGCCAAGCCGCAGGAGAGCCCGTGTGTGTCGCATAAGTTTTGTGGTGCATCACCCTGACGCCAGGCACATGAATGGGAAGAGATTGCCGGCTGTAATAGGGGAGAGGAACGGAGGATGCGCTTTCTACTGCTGTGTCCCCCTTCCAAAGAGCCAAAATAGATACCGCAAGAGAGATGGACAGGCACCGAGTGCACAGCGCTGGCGTCGTTCGCCAAAGCAACATGGAAACACCCAGGCCGAATTTCCGCCACCCCTTCCCTTGGCGATGCTTCCCATCTAGCTCTAGGATCTCCTCTTACCAACAGAGGCTCGTTGAGCATGGCGTCTCCCGTCTGTTCCCGCTCTCTCCCCAGCTGACGCTCCCCGCCTTCAACGACAGGAGAAGGGCGTAACTCTTCCCACCCAACTTGGCAGAGGAATAGACAGAGAGGGAAGCGTTTCACGCGCGCGAGCTCACGCGATCGCTGTACTTCTCCCCGAGCGTTCCACAGCGGTAGGTCTCAATCCTTGTGTCCCGTTATCGACGCGATTTGCTTCGCCTGGCGTTGCGCTTAGCCGTAATCTTCTACCCGCGTAGCACGAAGAGGACCACGCTCTGGCAGTATGGCGATATGCGGTGCGCGCTATCGTGCCGTGCCCCCATGGACCCTACTTCTTGTACTTTTTTTTTCCCGCGGGGAGTATCTTCTGCCGACCCCCTGTCCTTTGGCTTTTGGTTGGACATGTGGCCGTTCATGTCCATGCACCCTTACTCTTCCAAAGCGAGAGAGATACGTAACCACATATTGATTGAATTCCAGGGACAACAAACCATGAGGTCTTGACAAGGAGTCTGCTATTGAGTGTTCGTGTGATTTCATCGCAGGCGAACTTGACGCCTTTCGGTGGCCAAATAAGATACTCTCCATAACTACGCCGGAAAAAAAAAAGATCCACCGCTCGGTCCTGCGTGCTTGTTCGTGTTCAAACAAAGAACCTCTGCGTGCTCTATTAGACTCCATGAGATGTAGCACAAGGAGCAGGGTTGAATAAAAAGACATATTTCACTTTTTTAAGTTTGTTGTTGTTGTTGTTGTTGTTGTTGTTTCTCACATTAGCTCTATAGTCCACAAAAAATGGGGAGCCCGGTCTCAAAACCCGGCACATACGACGCCGCGAGGAAACAAAACAAACAAAAATAGGGTACAAACCACTCGGAAAAAGGAAACAAAATGACAGAAAGAAAAGAACAGGTATCGCACCGACCGTTCGAGAAACGAGCTCTCGGACACCGATCAAAATAACACAAAACCAAAAAAACAGAAAAATTAAGGAGGACGCTGCCCACACCCGCCGAAAGAAAAAATCAAAGGGTAACGTACCAGCACATGGCACTGCGCACCAGGGCATGGGAGTAACGGAGCAAACAGGGCAAAGAGGTGGCAGATGGGCAGACAGCCAGACGTACAAAAACAAAGGCAACATCAAAGCGATATCGAGGTACCCAACACAGCAGAGTAGGCAGGGAGGTCATGAAAAAAAGAAACACAGCACAGAGGCCGAAGACAATAAACATGTACACAAAGGAGTATGGCATTCGGCAGGGAGGGAAACAGGGCGCAACAACAACATCAGCCGGGTACATAGTTCGCCACAAGCGCTGCCTCGGCCGCCCTACTCGCTTCTACAGCAGTGCCCGGTCGCCGTTTCTTCCCCCCCACCGCCGCTTCGCCGGTTCTCTTTCTCTTCGGTCCTGAGATGGTCATACTCTCTGCTTCTGCTTCTCTCGGGCGCTGGCGCTTCGCGGACGCTTCCGCCTCCTGCCTGTTCCATTTCCTCATGAACTATGCCGCCCCGTCCTCGACCTTGTTGTACCACACCTCCGAGTCCTTGGCGCTCTCTTTCCATTTCCCCCCAAGTGTTCTCGAATGTAGGCATGCAAACGTAGCACATGGTGTTTGCCTCGCATACAGCAGTAGTCGAGGAGCTAAATGTTGAGCCAATCGCGTTAGGCCACTTGTTACGCTGTCTCTTTTTGGGCTGTCCTTTTTCTCAAAAAGGGACAACTGACCAAAAACCACTTGTTACGTGGTCTTTTTTTGCGTTTTTGAACCTCCCGAAAAGGGACAGCGAAAAAAGATCACCCCATCCTGTCCCTTTTTGGGCAACTTTGTCCCTTTTCGAGAAAAGGGACAGCCCAAAAAGAGACAGCGTAACAAGTGGCCTTAGACCTTGCCTGAAGGCGTAACAAGAGATAACGGCATAACGGCGGGTTCCGAATATTTCTATGCTGCAGGTGCAGTAAACAGATTCGGTGATTCAAATCCAAGAGTCACTCCCCCTGCCGCGATGATCTGCTCCAATCTAACTTTGGAGGTGACAGGACAACTACCTGCTATCGAGTATGCATGCAGAACGTGCCTTCTGGACTTCAGACTTCTCCAGCAAGCATATTCTACAAATCCACTACATCTGTCAGAGACATCCATTGATTGAGGGAGGTGGCGTCTGAACATTGCTATTATTTCTGCGGCCAGGAAAGTCTTTCCTTTCGGCGAAATCCTTCATCTGGTGGCAACCTCGTGCCCCCCAACCACAGCGGCATCATCAGAGATATTACTCCAAGATGCATCTTGGGAGCCACGGGGCGCTAGAAAGAGGGCAGCCCGCCTTGATTGCTCTGATGTTCGATTATGGTAGCCATCTCTTTGTCCCTTTCCCTGCGTTCAAAGGGTACCATCATAAGGCCGAGTCTTACGTCGTGATTATTTCGGGATTTTTATTGGGGGGGGGGTCCTTTTCTCAGCCCAAATAATTATTTGAGCGTCTTTTTTTTTTTTTTTAATCGACCATAAGTGTTGATTTCAAGAATCGCAGCTGTTCTATGGATACCGTGGAATTTCCGCCCTGATGCTGTGGTTTCCAGCAAAATCGCAGACCTTCCATAAGATTTGGCCTTATTAGGCGGAGTTTGTTATGCTCATGAATCTGGAATTATTATTATTTTGAAGTCATGGAACCCCACGACTTCATCACGCAACCCGGGNAAGCCTTGTGTCTAAAGTAGACCGCGGTAACCTCTACAGCAGCTCCCCGTTTCGTCTCACAGGAGCAGCTGCAGTGTGCCCTCTTCCTGTAGCTTGCTACTTCTGCGAACAAGTGTACTCCACCACGTCACCACATCTCTCTTCTGGTACCCTTTCCTCCTCAGAAACTTCCCCGCTAATTCTTGTTTACTTGCCACTGTACGATTCAGTCCCGCGCCACAAACCCCAGATTTCCTTCGTTCAATCTTACACTCTCATTTTACGGCGTGAATATTTCGGAGAGTTTTTTTTTTCCTCTCGGTCGGGGGGGGGGGGGTCTGCGCGGCAAAATTACAAGTAACGACCGCCAAAACCGGTTCCTGGAGGTATATTCTTTTCTGAAGGGAAAAAGGAGGCCGATTCATGTTCTCGTGAGTCACAACATGCTTCAGTACACGGTTTTGACTCGTGCGCGACCAACAAGACACCGAGCGCCCTGTTTATGGGTGGCCTGCAGAGGGCATGTGTATCATCGCACGCCGGTGGCTGCAGTTTGTGGATGTCGTCCGCCAAAGGCCTTTCTCTGATGGCATGCGTTGTACACTGATCACAGACTAGCAGTAAGCGGCAGAAAAAAAAAGCAGCGTCCAAAAAAGGCAACACCGAACCACACCTCGATTTACGTTTGCAGGCCGTGTGCAATCAAAACTGGGCGATACGCTCTGCTTCTGGGACGTGAGCAGAGGGTATGTGTATGAACACACGCCACTGGCTGCTGTTTGTGGATGTCATCGGCCAAAGGACTCTCTCTGGCATGCGTTTTTGACTGGTCGCGGGTGACACACGGAGCAAACACGTGGCGGAACAAGAAAAAATACCAAAAAGTCAACACCGCAACACACTTTGGTTCACGTGTGCAGGCCGTGTGCAATCAAAACTGGACAATACGCTCTGTTTCTGGTATGCAAGCAGAGGGTATGGGTATGACCACACGCCATTGGCTGCAGTTTGTGGATGTCGACGGCTTAAGGCCTCTCTCTGGCATGCGTTTTGAACTGTTCACACATGCAGCCGGCGCAAAAACGGCCCTTTTCGGCCCAAAGGCAAGAACGTCAGCAAAGCAATGTGGCAGGGTTGACGTTTTCGGCTCGTGTGCGGCCAACACGACGCAGAACGCCCTGAATTTTAGATACCTGTAGAGGTTTTGTGCATGGCCTCATGATTCTGGCCTCTGTTTGGCCAGCAGACGGTGTAGTTCCTCGTTCTGGCACGATCGGGGTGTGACCAGGGGGTACCCCTCCTCATTTCCAACAGCGATTTTCCAACAGGATCGCTGTTGGAAAATAGGCCAATTTTCAATATTCGAACAGGACGGCCAGAATCGCTGTTGGAAACTGCGCTGTTGGGTGTTGGGCTGTTGGAAAATGCCATTTTCCTACCCGCCCAAATTATTTGTTGGCTCAGAAAAGGACCCCCCCCCAAATCCAATCCGGAAATAATCACACCGTAAGACTCAGCCTAACAACATGGGAACGCCCTCAATATTTCCTATTATAGTCTATATCTACAAATTGCGATTTCCGAGGTAGACTCTGCGTCGCCGGGCCTTCTAAATAGCTTCTAAATAGCTAAATAACACTTTGGTACATAAATATGCGCCCGACACACGTGCGCGTAGCCCGAGGAATGAACGTGAAACGTCTCTACCACAACAAAGCTACAATGCATCATTCCCAACATCATAATCTTCTCTAAAACTTGTACACGTGCCCGCAGTCTTAGCAGTCAACTTTATATGTGCCACGGAAAAACTGCGCGTTGACGGAAGTGCGCTCCTCCCGTCCCCCGGTGTCTCCATCCCATCAGAGTGCTCTTAGCTCCGGCCATTTCGTGTCCAAATCTTCCCGGTCCAAAGAATCATCTGGGTCCGCGGGAGTCCATAGCACCTCTACGTCCAACACGTTTTCTCCCCGCCCTTCCGCGGCCTCGTCCCCTAGCCATTCCAGGAGGGTCAGCGCGGACTGCCTGCTTCGTTGGATGGTTGCGCATCGCACACAAAACAGAAGACGGAGGTCCATGGGTTGGTCGCTGCTGCGGGACGGCGATACAACGCACCAAGCACTTGCTGGAAGCTCACGCATCAATCCCGCCAAGCAAGATGACACGAGCCTTCAACCGCGCTACGTACCTGCGCAGGGGCGTGCCGGCAAGGCCAGCCACAAGAGCCGGCGTTCTCGTGCAAGTCTACTCCGACCGAAACCACCTCGGACTCAACAAGGCCCTCCATTCTCCAATCGCCAACTATAACGGCGAAGGCCTCCAGCCTTCGGGCGAGAAATAAGATATTCCGGAAGTGATTGCCCAAACAAACACAACCACGTGCGCAAATACCACCAACGCGACGCAGCAAAAGGTGGACCTAGCGCCGTGATGAAATCACACAGTTTATCATTTTCACCGCGCTCCAAGAAAACCGCAATAACTTCGACCCATCCTACAGTATATCGCACACTTGCAACCGGATACGTGAAATAAGGTTCAAAGTGCTCAGGAACTGGTACATTGCAGCCGTTCTGTGACGTGCATCTTCTGATACGTATATGACATCTGCCAAAAACGAGCTGTTTGGGCGTCTTCCAAGTACATGCATGAATATGCATTGCATAGATACCAAAACACGAACTGTTTTGCCCTCGCACCTGTTCACCACCGAGAACTCCACGCCTCGGTCATCGTCGCGATCGCGACTATCCCGCGTGAACCAGCTGCCTCTTCGCGGCTCAGCCCGAGGAGGGGTGCTGTTCAAACCCGACCACGCCACGATCAGCGTCGCTACCGCGTATGTTCCGCTCTTCTGGGAGCTGAACCCCCCCCATGAAGGCGCGGTGCTGCTGCTGAACCCTCGGTCGGGGGTGTTAGACACCGTCTCCCGCTCCCACTTTGATCGCTCGCGCATGGCGGCTCGGTTGAAGTCGCGCTTTGCCCTGGACACGGTGGAGGACTTCTTCCCTCTGCTGTTCGAACGGCCTGGGGGGTGGGTGTGACGGCGGGGCGAATTATTTCACCACCTCGACCTGGACTTGTGCTGTTTTTCGTGGGGCCATCGAGGAGAGTCAAGGCTTAGGATGGTGGCTACGTCATGTTATACGGGCTTGATTACAAAAGCGTAATCGGAGCGCATCCGTTCTTGCCAGCAGCGTACAGAGTATGGTCCGGCAAAAGTGCGAACTGTTAAGGGCAACCTATTCAAACTACTACTATAGCAATCGTTCGGCCGCACTCACATGGGGGGTGAAACAATGCATTAATCTAGCAAACAGCACTGTTGCTGTATGTGCGACTGACCTTCCGAGGCGTATACTTTGACGCTTCCAGCGCCTCCAAGCCAATCTCTGCCCGATCGAAGCAGCGTCAGGCACACCTGTGAGCATACCGGTGAGTTTGATGCACGTTCAAGCTACGAGAAACTTAAGGCTCACGTACAACACGAGACGCCGGCGAAAGGGCCACGAGCAGGAGATGCAAAAACAGCACAACTGAAACCACACACGATGACACACAAACGTCTTCGTCAACGCACACATGCAGGTACAGGGCGGCATTATCGCCGGGTTGGACGTGCTGGAAAGGTGAAAGATGGGAAGAGCGCACGAGTTCGAACCAGTTCAATGGCTTGAAATAACCATCGGTATCTCTCGTTAAGCTTCATTCTTAGGACCGGCGTACCGCGCGCTGCTCTGTCTGCCTCACCTCATTGATAAGGGTGGACAACCCTCTCGGACTGTTAACATCGGCCGTCTGTGAGAGCTTGTCCAGCGTAGCCAACACGTCCCCCTGTCCCCCCTGGCGGTCGCAATACAAACTCAACTGTAGCGTCGTCACCACGGCCGTTTGCGAGCTCCCTCCCCGGCCAGAACGTGGCGGCAGTGGCGCGGAGGGACGCTGGCCGGAACCTTCTTCGTCGACAAAGCGTTTTCTGTTGTAACGCTGAACGGCCGCCACGGCGGCGCTAACCCCGCCGATCATGGCGACGTCGCCGGGAGTGATGGACGTGGAAGGCGCATCGCCGTCGTACGGGTTGAAGCGGGCGCGGGTTGATCGCCTCCCTCCTCTTCCTCCATCAAAACTGATATGAAACCGGCTTCCTTCGGAGCCGTAGATGTCTCGACCAGCCCTTGGCCGTTGGTATTGTCCTTGTTGCTGCTGCTGGGGCGGCTGGTACTCCCGTTGCTGCTGCATGGGAGGGGCACTTGGCGTGCGCTCCGCGGCGGCCGGGGCGGAGTAGCCTCCGCCACCTATTCTGCCTCCAGTCACAGCGGCGGTCGCAGCGAGACTTCTTCCCGTAGCCACAACAACCAGTAGAGGCGGAATCGCCAGCAAACGACGCACATTTCGGCCATCTCCGCCCGTCTCGCCGCCCCTCGCCAACCCCGTTGTTCCTCCCTTACCGGCGCCGGTGTTGCTGTTGTCGCCGGCGGTGCAGACATCACGTCCCACAACGCACGCTGTTGAATCTCCTGGCACATCTTCAAAACACCCATCAACACTCAAGCGTGCGCCCCACGCGCTTCTGCTTGCCGGCAGCCGTGATCGAGCAACAATCCCTCGGGAGCTGCACCTTTCATGTGCCGGCTGCCCGCTTGTTCCAGCAGCAGGGGGGGCGGAAAATGCTGTCCTGGACGTGCTGCTAGGAACTAATGCTAACGCCTCGACAACAAAGAGACAAAAAAACATCGTTCTCCAGACCGATACCATCGGCAGCGGGGAGAGGTACCAACACCCTGGCATGGCGAGTAGCGAGAGTCTGAGCATGTGAGCCTGACTACAAGCACTGCTGTCTGCAGCAGGCACACACGTGCACAGCAGTACCAGGACCCATAGGGGGGACCGTGGTTTACATTCAGGCATTTGCCATACCCGCAGTGTTTGTCTGCGTGCCCATCCACTGCCCTCGGTGCCGGCTCGCTGGTGTGCCGCCATAACTCGCTGCGCAACCAACAAGAAGCAATCCCACGCCCAACAACTGCAGCCCGCCAGCGACAAGGCAAGTTTCCCAACTTCTGATATTGACTGGGTGTGAAGTCGATAGCGTTATCTTAGATCTTGGGGTAGGCCTGTCACCATCCGATGCTTCCGAATCTAGCAGAGCCAGACAGACGCCGGTCTAGGTCACAATCGTTGCCCGAGAGCAACCAGGATCTGCGCGTGAGAGAGACGGGGCATAAGCCCTGTCTGCCAACGGCATCAACGGAATGGAACGAGATGCAATGCGTTCGCCACACATGCACCACGCCATTGAAATGTTGTTCTTGTGCAGCACAGCTTTGCAAACAGAACAAAGCTCTCCTGTGTGTGAACGGTAAAGCACACGCAGTTTGAAATTTATCTGCAATTTAGACGGAAACCTCTGAAGCTGGGTGCACCACTTTGACCCACGCCAGCCGAGCCAGGGTCTTGATCGGGCATGAACCAACGTGAAGCCCACCTTGCTTTGTGTCCTCAAGACTTCCATAACCCCTGTTTGAATGCACTGTTGAAGGCGGATCATAAATTGGCGTGCCTGGCGATAGCCCACGCAGCGGGAAGGTGTGCTGGTCACATCCAATATCCAATCAAGCACTAGCTTGTTTGTTTCGGTGTCAGACACACCCGTGTTTATGTTTCTCCCTAAAACCAGGTTGATACACAGGTAAAGACAACCAAACAGGCCAGGCAGCAGCACCCACCCTAAACAGGCGAGATTCTGCTGTAGAAACATACCTGGTAACCCGCGCACGCTGGTAGACGACACGTGCTGCGGCTGTCCTGCGACTAGCGCTCACATCCAATATCCAATCAAGCACGAGCTTGTTTGTTTCGGTGTCAGACACACCCGTGTTTATGTTTCTCCCTCAAATCAGGTTGATACACAGGTGAAGACAACCAAACAGGCCAGGCAGCAGCACCCACCCTAAACAGGCGAGATTTGACAAGTTCGGCAGAGGAGAGAGAGTGAGAGCCCGAACCAGAAACCGGCCTGTCGCTCTCCGCGTCGGCCGTCAGCTGAACAGAGATGGCTGGACCGAACCAACGAAAAGGCGACACACACAGGGATAGCCAGAAGGAGAAGGTTAGTAATAAAGCAGTTTGGGTGGTCATGTACCACCCCGTACGGCGTTTCTCGCACATCTTACAGCTTGTGTTCTTGTGTTCCCAGAGGGGGGGGCGACAGGGGTTCCGTCCTAGCTCAGGTAGTCTCTCTGCCCGACCGGCGGTCATGAGTTGGTTTCAGATTACCTCCCGTTTCTCCAACGCAAGCAGCGTGTGATCAAGAGGTCCGGCTGCGAAAGGGAGGTTATGTATGCCTGTTGGATATCGCAAATTATATGCAAGTCTGTATCAGCACACTTGACCCGCAACGCAGTGCACGAAACACCAGCCTCTACGTGGCACCAACAGCGGTATTGTGGATGATCGCCTCATCTAGGTCTGTGCCGAATGAATCAGGTGGCACTCTTACGTTCTGAAGTCTGTGCGGGTTGTGGAGTGGATGCACCTGGGGGGCTGTTTCGGCAGAGCATCAGGAGACGAAAAAACCTCTCGCACTGGTGTTAGCCATGCCGGCGGGAAGTGTGGTGATTGCCGTCAATCGGGGTGGACTCGTCTCTCCGCGATGCCACGGCCGTAATGGAAGGATAAGACTCGGGGGGGTTGCGAAAACGGATGGCGGACGGGAAACAATACAATTTAGCAGGGACACCGTTTCAAGACTCTTGAAGGTAGCCACCCCTCCCCGGTTACCCACACCAAGAGGTAGTGCAACAATATTGGTACATTGACTACGCGCTACATGTACGTGGAGCACACTCCTCTCTTTGCGTGTCTTCGGGTACCCTCTTGGTTTCCGCGTACGTACCCATTGAACATGTCATTTCGCCTTTCGAAAAATCACCCACTCATCCCGCCTTTTCATGCTCCGACCTTTGCTGCTGCTCCTCTCCCAACACGCGCCGCACCACACGTCGAATATTCGTTCAATGTCTATAATAGGATGTGCGCACTGCCAACATCCTCGCGGCTAAAGCGGTTGCGGACGCGATCCGAACCAGCCTGGGTCCGAGGGGAATGGACAAGATGATCCAGGGGGGCGACGGGGAGGTGGTTATCACGAACGATGGGGCCACTATCCTCGGGCAGATGCAGGTGCGTCTTTCCGCAACGTAAATCTAAGGTGGTGCCTTCTGCCGTACAACAAAAAATGGGTTTATGGCTCGAGTCTTGGAATTGCGTTTGTAGTGCCATAATTGGTTCCTGACTCGCTGATAGGATGGCAGTGCGGGTTCTTTAGTTGAATAGGAAATATGTTGCGGATTGCATGCAATTACACCAACCCGGGATCGCTTTCAGGAAAGATCTGCATTGTTATTTCGTTGCTGGAGCGTTCTAGTGTCATACGCCACGTGCCTGCACAGCTCCAAGGATGATCGTCGATCCTGAGACCACACTCGATGTTGGCCCCATCATTTCTAGCTATTTTGCTAATGCTTGAAGCGAACGTTCCAAGCCTAGTAAAAGGCACGGTGCCCCGTGCGTTGAGTGTCGTCGCCAAGAATGCCGCCGAAGAGCCCCGCCGTCGACACCTATGCAAGGGAAACCATATATCCATGGTGGTCGACAAGTACCCATGACACCTTGAGCACGCAGTCACCGTACAAGGATTTCTGCCTCCAGGATTTGTCTCCCACTCTCTCTCTCTCTCTCTCTCTCTCTCTCTCTCTCTCTCTCTCTCTCTCTC